CGAGTGTTTGCGGCCAGGCGAGCTCGATTTGGACAGCTTCCACAAAGCATTGCAAGAGCCTGCGGTCCTGGAGAAGCTTAGCTTGGTGGGAGTGAGGAAAGCCCAGCCTCAACACTTTGGCAGTATCCTGTTGTGGCTTTTGTTTGGTTTTGTGCAGATCCAGGGGTGAAGACAGCAAGGAAAGTTGCATGGGCGACCAACCTGTCTGTCGACTTCTTCTCTGACTTGACCAAGAATGACATCAAGGATCCCGAGAATGAGTTTGTGCCTGTGGCTGCCTGCATGATGTAAGCACACCAATCATCAACCCTTTTATTTTTGTTGGGCAGGAGCTATTTGCCGGCATGGATTTTGACGCTTCCGGCACCGTTTCCTTCAATGAGTGGGTGGAAGCATTGGTGCAGAGCTGAGAGTTTTGTTTGCTTGCTCGCTTGAGTTTTGTGTGTGTGTGTGTTGTCTTGCTTTCATCTTTGCTTGTGTTTGTTCGGTCGTTTGTTCAGTCGCTCGATTGTTTGTTCATTTGTTTGTGTGTGCGTGGTTTGTTTGTTTGTTTGCTTTGTTTTGTTTGTTTGTTTGTTTTTTGTCTGCTCTGCCCTGCTCTGCTCTGTTCTGCTGTTTGTTTGTTCGTTTGTTTGTTTGTGTGTGTGTGTGTGTTGGTTTGTGTGTTGGTTTGTTGGTTTGTTTGTGTGTTTGTTTGTGTGTCAGCTTGTTTGCTTGATTGCTTGCTTGCTTGCTTGCTTGCTTGCTTGCTTGCTTGCTTGCTTGCTTGCTTGCTTGCTTGCTTGCTTGCTTGCTTATTTTCTTCTTTGTTCAGCGCGATCCACCAACTACATGAACTTCCGAAAATTAATACCGGTTTTGCGGCACGCTTTCAGCTAGCAGCTAGCTACAACGTGTGACACCCAAGGTCAATACTCGTCAGGACGCTGAGATGCATCATGGTGGGTCGCGGGTGTGTTTGTGTGTGTCCATGCCTCAATATTTTGGGCTGCCGAGTACCAACCCGCGGCGTGCGGGTCCAGAGCATTGAATGTCCACGCAAGTTCGACTGCAGGAAGTCTACAGCAAAGCAAAGCTCGAGCAAGAACAGGCCATGGAAGCAGTGGCTTGGCAGGTTTGTGCTTGCAGCGGGTTTAGAGAGCTGCGGATTCCTACCAGTCGACATGCAGACTCTTTGACCAAAGCTTCATGTTTCTCAGAGTCCTAGTAGCAGATGGGTCGATTCACACTCTGAGTCTCGGGCTCTCAGGTGATCCAAGATGCCATGGCAGCAATGGATGAGGTTCAAGAGGCAGTGAGCTAGCGGCCAGTGGCGTTGCCATTTAACCAGCGCAGGACTGGAGCTCGGAGCTGCACTTGGACAGGCTCCTTGGAGACTCACTGGCACACCTGTCTTCTGATATCCTGGCGATGTTGCAATGTTGCGATACTCTGCACTTGTCTTAGGTTCATTTCAGCATTTCAGACCAACGATGCCTTCCTGCGCAAAGTCTCCCATGCCACAGGCAACACAACAAAAGCCACCCATGCACGTTAAAGCTTCGCATCGAGGCATCTCGATGCATGAGTACAGGCACCTCCAGGCATTGGACCAGCTGTAGGGCCGAGATGCTCGTTGCATGCGACTCATGCTACTAGTGTTGTGTTGCGCGTACAGTACAGCTCATAGAGGGAGCGAGAGGGAGAGAGAGAGGAGGAGAGAATGAGGATATTGACTCAAAGCCTGCAGAGGCAAGGGACCTCCAGGACCTGTTTGCAGCACTTGACATGGACTTGTCTGGAACCGACTCTCGGCTGCATCCAGCTGGCTTTCCCGCTCGCACGTCCGATTAAAGATATAGATCTTGCTGTGTTTCGGCAGCCAAGGTCTCCTTTGATGAATTTGTGCAAGGAGTCTTTGCTCTTTATTTCTGTTGTAATTTGCATTAACGCCCATGTGACTCCATTTGCAATTCTGTGTAGAGGCCCATTTGCAATTGTGTGGTGCCAATGACAGGACTTGCAGCTATTCGCTTGGCACACGATGCTGACGTTAAGGCTTGCCGGAACAATGGGCCTGCCAGACATGTCGTTGGGCCATCCAGGCACAGGCTTACGAGGAGGCCAACGCCGAGCCCGAGCCAGCGCGTGTGGTCAAGGATATTGGACGAAGCATATTGAATTTGGTGTGCTGGAAAGCGCAGGACGTCATGGCCAGCAACATGCCCCAGGGTGTAGACGCCATCCAGCCGGATGACTTGAGGGAGTGCCTTGGCTTTTGTTTTACAAGGATCTATGATATGTATGTGGACATGCATGCATATTAAAAGATATTATATATATATATATATTGTATGTATTAATAGGCAAGGTGTGTCTTCTTCACAAACTGAACAGTTTTGAGAGCTCTATTGAATGAGCCTAAAATCAAGACACAGCGGGCGCAGGCGTCGTTCGATCTTTGGACTGCCTTTGCAAAGTCTCACTCCGCGTTGCCCTGCTCAAATCACGCCGGACTGTCTCCCGAAGCTTCGCAAGAAATTTCTGACGAGGCCACTTGCCGTTGTTTCCCAATGTTGATGGGACGGCGCTGTCCAAACAATAGGTGGCGTTGTTGCTGACGCGTGTGGCGTGCGCTGAGGATTACGTGAGCAAGGTTGCTCGCCTCCTTAGGTTTTGTGCCATTTGCCAGTGGCACGCATGGTCGCTGGGACAGCAGCGCAATCACTACGCACTTCGGTCAACCCCGGCTGAGTTCGAGTTCCCACCAACTTACTTCCAAAGACTTCGTCATGCTTAACAAGAGTGCAAAATAGCAAGTGCTCCATTTTGATATTGAGCTTGGTTCAATTTCAATTCGCAGCTTCAATAGCTCTTTTCCCCGAATGGATCGAGAAGCACATGTTTGTATGAGTTTAGCAACATGGAGAAATGTGTGAATTTAACAATCAATCGAAGTCTATCGTCGGCAGGCAACGTTTCTTGACAGTTCCGATGTTCCAGGTAACACACACACACATACACTTACCGAGGTTGAAATCTCTAAAAGATCGGAGAGGGCAAAAAAGCAGCAATAATCCTCTGGCCCAAAGCGAGAACCATAAAGATATGGTGAGCTCCCAGAATTCTAAACTCGGTGATTTTAAGCACATTGTTATAGTCTATCTCGCTTCGAAACGATGCACGTCACACGGAGGACCAAGAACTCACTGAGAATGTTTCGACGTATATTGCAAGTACCACCTATGCATGTAGATCGAGAATCAGGAGGTACGTAGGCTTACTAGGATGCGTCAATGAAGTTTCTGAGTAGCTCAACTGAAATGTGGAAACTTGGTTGAGCAGTGACAGGATTCCTCATGGCAATTTGGAAAGTGTGCCCAACCTCCCCATATGGGTGTGTCTTTTCTTGAGGGTACGTGTTTTGGCATCCTCAGGCTGTATTTCATAGCAACAATTCCCCGCATATGCCCTCCTTAACGGGATGGGCCCAAATTAGACAGGCACCTTTGGAAACTATCTCCGATGTATGCGGGCTTTAGATCACACTGCACTGGAAACGCTGATCCTCCATGGTGTAAAGACCTAGGGGCGCCAGTTTCTCAGCTGGTAGTGGCGACGCTGGACAACCCTCAGCTCCAAAGACTGTGAGCAGCGCATTTCAAAAAAACAAAATATATAAGGAACTACATTCGGTTAAAATTGAACTTGGTTGCAAATTGAAAAGAGAACATGAGATTGAATTAGAGCAGCAACACATGATTTGTTGGGAATTACTGTCCAAGTTAAATGTTAAATGTTAAAAAAGAGTCGAAGTAGAATGTGAGTGGAATTTTGCGAAGTGAAATCAATAAGAACATGCACGAGGACATGGAACACTTGTGTAATTGAATTGGATCTCAACTTCAAAAACAATTTAGATGGGACTGCTTTGTTTGGCAATTGCGAGGTGAAATGGCCTAGAATCGTTCATCAGGAAATTGTCAGAAATGGTTCAAAGAGGACTCTATGTACGAACTCCAAAGCGGAAGTTGAATTTCATTCGATTAGCATTCGCACAACAATCAGAAGGAGGTCAATCCCGTCGAGGAGCCGTATTTGTTTTTCGTGTCTCCAAGTTTGAGTTTCAATGAGTGTTGATGCTCCGGAGTGTCTGCTTGAAACTGATCAAGCGCAGGTACCACATGCTGCATAAAAATAGTAGATAGATACACCAAATGCAGTGTCATATGTATGACAATCTAGTTATGCACAGCGTGACTGTATCTCAAACTAAGGTTGCTGATGCTTTTAGACAGAACCCGGTGGACTGCGGACAAGCTGGAGAAGTTGGTTCTTGGCCTGCCGTGGGGACGAGACGGGTCGCTCCCACTTGGAGTCTTGACAGCAAGCGCGAGCAGTGGAGACTTGCCATGCAAGCAAACATTGTCATCCCAGGCGTTCTGATTGATTTTTTGAGCCTTGGCTAAGCACGCATGATATCCTCCCGACTTTGTGGATGTGTTGTTGCAGATCCTGACAGATAAGAGCGTGACTCCAAGGTACTGATGTTCTGAGCGATTTGAATACAAGAGTATGCGCTGAGAAGCATGCCGCTGCCTGCAAGCTGGCTTAAGACCCTTGGGATACCGCCACAAATTCAAAGTACAACCACCAGGGGACCGCTGGTTTTAGTCTTTGCATTTTGGGTACGCATTTTTGACCCATAGCCATACAACAGCTCCTGAGCAAGGGGTCGGTAGATACTACTCCCATTATTTGGTGTCCTTTAGCTTGCATGCACTGCGCCGAGCAAAAATTAATTAAAGGCTGTGCGTTCAAAACGTATCAGTCTTTGGCACTCTTTGACTGTCAGAAGTGTTGCTTCAAACTACGGCGGCACACAGTCCATCAGCAGATCTCTTGTACAGTGCACACCGAAGGTGTGCCTGCGAAGAATTGCAAGATCACAAACTTGGGTGTCCAGAACCGGCCACATGGTCAAAACACTTGTGTCCAATGCCTCTGAGAATGCAACTCAGGTGTACAAAAGAGCAGACCTTCTCAGCCAAGGCGAGTCAAGGCCTCAAAAGCTGTAGCTTGACAGGCCTTGCTCCGGGATCTTGACCAATATCTGAGGCCCTACAGGTTTAGTCTTCCACCAACATATGCCGCGGCCCAAGCCAGTACGCCAGTGCTGGTCCGGAAAGGGTCGAGCTCGCTGCGTTGAAAGAGCCAAGAGCGGAATGCGTCAGGTGCGAGTTGCAATGACCTGCGCCGTGATAGCCTTCGCCGCACAGATGGTCCGACCTGAGACAAATTTTCGGGCGCTCAGATTTACACACGGGTTCTTGAACATAGTTTAGTGGAAATCCCCAAAAGCGACGACAAACACAGAAGAAGGAATTGAGCTTGATGCACAACCGCAGTCAGTAGGCTGGCTCATGTGCGCATGCATACCATACCACGAACTGCAGTGAGCGGTGTATCAGTTGTTTGCACTGCGGGTTCAAGTCAGGTCAGTTGAACCTTTGAGTAACTGTTGGGAAGGTGTTCTACATTGGCCGCGAATGGGCCATTCACAGACAGGCACTGGCCTCAGAATAATTGAAAGGTGCATGGCCTGCGGTCAGTTGGTGGCTTTAGGCCGCATTTGAGAGCGCGGCAGTGATGTCCAGAGTTGCTTCATCTCGTCAACGCTTTGTGAGTTGAGTTTGGGGCTGGGGTTAAGCACCCCCATACACTGTGATGCGAGACGGTTGGGCCGCATAGTTTGTGTAACAGGATACCCCGTAGTGTTATGTATTCATTTGCACCTTGGATTGTCTCCGATCAGTGCAGGTTGGCAGGCAAGTGCGGCGAGTGCTGAACTCAATGATTTGTTTAGCAAGCATGACAAAGTGGCATAAGCCCTGCTTTTGCCAAGCAGTGTAGGTGCCGCCATTCTGGAACAACCTCTTTAACGTGGCCATGCAGAGGGCTAAGATGTTCCTATATTTGCAAAAGGGCCACATGGATGGTATAGTAATGGCACGAATGTACGGGTACGATCTTGAGGGTGACTCTGCACCCCTACTGAATTGGGAAGAGGATCGAAGATGCAGAAAGTATGCTGCCCGCACTTGCAGGATCTTCATGTACATGGCCATTGGTGTCATTGTGTTCGGGCTCATTCAGATGCAGGAGTCTCAAGCCAACGAATTAGCTTGGATGTCTCAAGAATGTTCTGTATGTATCTTCTGACTGCCCAGGCAAGAACCTCAAGAGTTAAGGGAGGAGGAATCTAGCCGACAGCCTAGCCTTGGATTGCAGAGAGCGGCAAATGCCAAGATTTTGTAGGTCCTTTGCCACTCTCCGCTGGCGTATTCTGCGCCAACTCCTTGTTGGTGCTGTACATGGCGTTGTGCCCTGTCCAATGTCAGCTGATTGGAATGGGCCTTGGCCCGGATTGGCTTAAAGCTTCTGGCACCTTGGCAGGTATGCAGCCCTTCAAATTGTGTTGCACTCGGAGGATGATTGAAGTCGGAAATCTCTGCTGTATCATGGACAGACTCTGCTCTTCCTGCTTGGGCAGTTCCCTGCGCATTCCTAGAAATGATAACTCCTGCACAATGTGAGCACATCCCAACAACTCAGGCTTGTGGAACATGCTTGTTTTGATTCGTGCTTGCAGCTGCAATGCTCACGCTATGCAAGTGACGGGCGCCGGCTGCAAACAAATTGTTTTCATATGCGACGTACAGCAGTTTGGGGGGGGGACTGAGTGTAGAGTACGTTCGGAACCTCATGACGTGAATAGTTGGTTTGATACTAGAGGGGGGAGCAGTGGTAAATTATTCCGGTCCCGTAAACACGCTTGGCCACCGGAACCCACCAAAATAGTTCCCACCAGGTTCGTGGCGGCAATCAGTTTCAGCGCATCCAAAGCGTGCTGCGTATTGTATGAGCCAAACAAGACCGATGCCCAGGCAAAGACGATGGACGTGGACTTCAGGGAGCGAGGCTGACTGTTGAAGGCTGACTGTTGAAAATGAAATGCCCGGAATGCAGCAGGCATGTACCCTGAGTCGCTCACCGATCCTTCCAGGCGGCATGATATGTGTAATGTTGCAAGATACTGTTTGTTCAATGTGTGTCATGATTGACATGCGTCAGACTGCAGGTACATCATTGAGGTGCTGAAAATCGGAGCCAGCACCATACAAACTGCGCCAATGTCCAGAACTCGTTTTCTGACATGTTCAGCTTGCTTGGTGAAGAAGTAAGATGGTTGAAATCTACAGGTCTGTGACTGTGTGTGTATGATTGTGTATGACGCTCAGCCGTGCTTTTCGACAATGTGGCCAAAGTACTGATTTCGACAGCAACATCCAGCAAGCACGAATTGCATGATAAGAGAGTTTCATAAGGCCAAGGGCGCTTGAATAGCGTAGCGAGCATGCGTGCACTGGAACAGCTCTTTTCTACACCTAGTCGCTTTGCTCCGTGAATGGAGCAGCGGGAGTCCGATCTCGCAGTTGTATGCCGCTTGGCCCATGAACATCTGAGTGATGGTCCAGCTGCACGCAACGATGTTCTCAGGCGGGCGAACTGAGTAGACACATGTTTTCTTGTTTGAGCACTATGCCTGAGCGCTTTTTTGCTTCAAAAGCGTGGTTGCAGAGGCGTCTCCCGCGAGACTTTCGAAGTGGCGTGGATGAGATCGTGAAGGCTGCATTCATGCTAGATTGTGTCAGAGCGAGCTCGCCGCAAAGTCATGCCGTGCAGGACATTCACACCAGCATTGAGGTGCCGCCATTGTTCAACACAAGCGGCGGAGTGCCTCGCTGCATGTCATGACTTCACAACTGTTGCACCCGCAATACTCGCTGCTGAGACGCTGTCCTTCATATTCCGCAAGCCGGGCACTTGTGGTTGTGAGGAGTGGCAAGAGCACTCACATTCATTGACCGCAGATGAGGCTTGTGACGTATCAGACGCAGCAGAACCACCACCAGCCCCCAGGGCGATTCCAGAGATTGACAAGCTTCAGCGCGAGAGAAGCCAACAGCTGCGATAATTTTCATGCGAAGCGCGTGGTTTGTGAGGTCCTGCTTCTTGTCTCAGAAAGGTACAGAGCGCAGACATGGGTGCCCAGTATGGGCTGCATTGCTAGTTGCGAGTGTAGTGCTTTGTCTGTACGTTTTTGCAAGGTGGTCGCATTCCCGGCTGACGCCAAAGAGAAGTAAACCAAAGCCTCAGCCAAGTAGTCACTATACGCTCAAAACTTGCAAACCTGAAGGGAGGGGTTGCCAAACAATACTTAAAGATGCTCGTTGCGATGAGCCAGATCGCTGTGCCTTCATTCGAAGATGAGCTCGCAGACAGCACTGCAACCTCCAAGAAAGCGTGTCCAAAAATGCCCACGGCCCACCAAAAGTGGCAAATGAGCATCCCTCCTAGATGGAGCATCAGCATCCCCGCGCATTGCACCATAGACAGGCACCTTACACTTAACGTGTGAATCACTACGTGTTTGAATCAAGCAACGTCCCATGTCAGAGGTGTTTGCAGATATTGAAGTATTTGCGGCCGTCCTTAACGTCACTTCATGATGCGTTGAAGCTACAACAGTGGCTTGATGCCTGAGGAAGACGTGGGCGTGTTGCAGCCACGGCGCTGTGAGCGATGAGAGCGTCGATGCGCAAGAAGTTGAGCCCTACCTGAACTTCCTTCGCCACCTTCTGTATTTTCACGACAGATGGTCTTCGAAGCTCTGGGGATCAGACTCCTTTCTGGAGATCATGGTGCAGACCATCCGGAAGCTCGAGGCCTTGAAGCGCGACTCCTCTGACACGAAGCAGAAGTATCTCCGGGTGCTGGAGCAGATCTACGACTCTTCCAGCGAGTTGGCGGAGAACGCCTTGCGAGTCGCCATGTTGGCGGTCAGTGAGCATCACGTGGAGTTTGAGACCGTAGTTACAAAGGAGGGTCCTATGACTTTGAAGCTCCTCAGCAAGGCCTACTACCGGCACAACTCTTCATTTTGGTGTACAGATCTGGGTCAAGTGCTGAATGCTGCGCTGGTGCGTGCAGATCCTCTCCGGTTTAAGCCGATTGGAACGGGAACAGAGAAGGCTCCGGCAGCGCGTGTTTGGAGCCTGTGGACAGATGAGCTGGGGACCATCAAGATGTACGAATATGGAAGTCTTGAAGAAGCCCGGCAGGTTCTCGAGCAGTGCAGGTGCTGCACCGTCCTCGTGGGTCCAGAGGGCAAGATTCAGGAGAAATCCTTAGCTGCAGGCAGCCAGATGCTTTCCAAGGCCGGGGAGAGGACACATGGCGCATGATGCTTTCTGTGGGCCTCACAAGAGAAATAGTTGATTTGAGAGCTCAGGTCTTGCAAGAAGGAAACACACTCCGTGAGCTCAACCGCAGCAAGGCTGCAATTGGCATTGGGGTGTATCTCAGCTGTGGCCTGGGATGAGTGTGCAAAGCGAAAGGCTATGAAAGGCTGCTGGCAATGTTTTGCCCGCATGCATATTCAAAAGGGAGGAACGACCTTCAGTCTCCTTGCGCAGACGGTTTTTTTTTTTGCAAGACTGAAGCCGCCTTGAAACAAATTATGCGGGACCTCCGACTTGCTTTGTGAGGTAGAGTCGATCAAAACATTTCGCTGCAAAGAGCTGCGCTGGGCTTGCCTCCGGAGCAGGCTGATTTCAACCTTGATTCTACAGAGTGGCACAGCATCAGTGGCCGATATCGAAGCTTCTTTGTTGTGGGACTTGAGTGCTTGGAGGTGACGGCAATTGAAGATTTTCTCGGTCAAGAAGTGGAGGTAGATGTGTCTGCAGAAGCCCAAAACTACTGGATACTTTGCTGCAGTCCTGATTTGCAGGTCCATTCAGGATCCAGACACGCCTAGTGGTGTTGAACAGATTTGGGTTTACTTCGTTGATTCCCCTGCTACAGCCACTGATCCCAGCGATACATCCAAGGTATGATGCAGTGCAGAAGGAGTGGCATTTCGGGTCGCCGCACACGTGTACATGTGTGTGTGGGTGTGTGCGTCTTCCTTTTCCGGAAGATGTGGGCAGGTGCGAGATGAATGGATGCAAGGTCGCACAGAAGTCGCTGGCGTGGCTGAGCCATTCCGTGGGGGCAAGAAGGTGAGCCGTGTCAAGTTAAGTGCCGAAAACGTCAGTGGCACTCGTTGATTGCCAGGTGAAATGGATCGAAGGCGTGTTTGAGAAAGGGGCCAAGTCGTCTGACTTCCCGACAATCATTCTGGACCGGGTGCCTTTGAATGACCTCAGCGTCAGGGCGGTCAGGGTTGCCGCAACAGGACCTGCCCAAGACGCTTTCGGAGTTGCTGTCGTGCCACAAGGAGGTATGGGGCTCAGGTGCTGATGTTCTTAGTGGAGTCAGTGGCATCACAAAAAGTGTCAAGTGGTGCTATCTAAAAGCATTAGGTGATGTCTGCAGTGCGGGGCATGATCAGCGAAGGCCACGTTGCAAGCGTGAGCTAGTTTCTGCGATGGTGCCACATCAATTTGTTGTGAAGGTGGAAGCAAAGAGGCACTGGCTGCAATTTATGCTTTGCGACAGCGCGGAACGATCACCGGCCAGCTAGATGTCACTTGGCTTCTCCAAAACCTACAACTTCAGCTATACTGTTCATGTTGCTTGCTACCCGGGGCATTGGTATTGTTTGCAGTGGCCTTGTCAGGCTTGCATGCAGCGATGTTTGGCCAGTGCCAACCTGATCCACGGATTCTACGAACATTTGTTCTTTGATGGCCCTTCGGCTGTATGAGCTTCAGTGCCGCAGCTAGTGTGTTCAGAGCGAGACGCAGGTCTTGAGAGCGGTAAGAAGATCAAGGGTCAAACAGCGGCTTGGCTCATCCTGACGCTTAAAGCAGTGCGCTTTGCCAACCTTGAAGAGCATGACTCTTGGCAGCCTGAACCACTGACCTTGGACTGCATACTAAGGCCTCAATGCAGCGGTTATATTTTGAGCCTTGGCAGCTGCTGAGAAGTATGCCGCTGGATGCACAACCTGTCAGCTGAGGAGAGCTACCGTGCTTGTAGCAAAATGCGGGATGATATCCTTACCAAATGGCACAAGCTTGGCCTCCAGGCACGCGCCCGTGTGTGCCGAACAGTTCAATTTATTGAGTGGCTTTTGTCATGGTGCTTTACATGTCTTGTGACATCAAAGGCGGGGCAGGTGTGCTTCTTTGTGGCAGTATGTTTAGTCATGTGGCTTGCTTGAGGCTGTCCAACACTGTGAGTTACAGGTCACAGATGACAACCTGGCTGAGGAGGCAAAGCGTCTCTTAGCTTTGAATGATGCTGTCGCCACGCCACGATTGTTGCCATTCGTAGAGATTCGCATATGTAAGGTATTGATATGACGGAGAGGGCAGCATTTTGCCAGCTGATGGGCACTTTGGCTGCTTTGGATCAGCCGCTGCAATGAAACTGGCTTCGTCGCTGGTAAGCAACACATGTGGCATGTGGGCGCAAGCGAAAGTTCCCGATTGGCATAATGTATACATGCGAGGCATGCCAGCTCCAAATCTTGCGCTAACTGCAGGCTGAATTTGTTGCAATCATATCATGTTTTTAGTGGTACCACCTTGGCGCTGGCAGGCTCCACGTCCCAGCTGCTGCAATTGCCTGACTCTCCAGCGGGTAACGAGGCGATGGCAGCGATCACACATCAACACTATCTGGCTGTGGGTCAAAACTAGGTACCCAAAATGGAACCGTGGCAAGTGGAGACGTAGATTCAAATCTGCGGTTTAATTTTGACCCATACGCATCTACTTTGCCTTTTGTGCCAGGCTTCGCCAACTGGAACTCCTCGGAGCGACAAGCAAATCCCAATAACATTCGCGCCCTCCGCCCGTGTGGAGGCAAGCGTTGAAAAGAATGGTGTGTGCGTGCGTGTGTTTCTGGGCGGGTGGGTTGGGTGGCGAGTCGGGTAAGTCGTGAGTCTGTGCTTGTCGTGTTTTTCTTTGTTTGTTTGCTTGCTTATGTGTTTGCTTGTTTAGTTGGTCAGTTGGCCGAGTTGCTCCTGTTTTTAGTTGGTTCGTTGCGGTCAGTTTGGCTCGGTTTGCTTTGGTTTGGTTTGGCTGGCTTTTTGCTTGCCTATTTGTTTCTTTGGTTGCTTGTTTGGTTGGTTGGTTGTTTCTTTGTAGTTTGTTTGTTTGTTTGTTTGTTTGTTCGCTTGTTTCCCGGGATGTACGCTCAGTTCTAATGTACGCTCAGTTCTAAACACGAAACCAGCATAATCTCTTCATTGCCAAAGCTTTTGGCTTTCTGCGTTGGGGAGGCTCACCTTGCCTGGGTGAGCCTCCTGAGGTTTGCCAGGAGTGTCAGGCAGCCAAACCACCCACAAAAGCCTGGTCCAAGCTTTGCAGAGCCTACGCGAGGCTCCGGACCCTGCTCAAGGATTGCGGGCTGCCAAAGGCGTGGGAGGAGAGCGATGCTCGCCTTGAGGCCCGCGGCCGCTGAACTGCAGGACATGATTGACATCGAGGCTGCGAAGCAGACCCTTGAACTCCGAAGGAGAGAGCCAGGACAGGGGGGGCTCCTGAGAGAGAGAGGCTGAGGAAGCAAAGGCGCCGCTCAAAAAGCAGAGGATGGGGGAGAAGACGAAGCGGAAGAGCGGTTGGCAGTTCGAAGGACTAAACGCGTAGGGGAAATAGGGAGCCCTGGGCCCTGGGCTCATGAGGAAGACACCGCGATGGATAAGGTGAAGAGAGAAAGAACTCCACCCGGCCCGACTTGGCAGGACTCAAAAAGTCGCCGTGGCTAGGCACAAGAAAACTGCGCGCAAACGGATGAAGAAGGCAGAGCTTCGACAGCAATATCCGTGCTGCTGACAGAAAGACCCGCCGCTCAACTCACTCAAAATCACGTCCTTCAAAATCACCATCTCCTCATCACCATCCTTCCCGCCGCTTTGCCTAGCAGCAGCTCGGCTCAAGGGCGCAGCTTCAATCCAAACTCCACGCTTCGCCTGGCAGCAGCTCGGCTCAAGGGGCACGGCCTAAACCGCAGCTGCGCCTCTCTGCATTTGTCAAACTGATGGCGCCGAATGCGGGGCCTTTTTGAAGGCCGTCAGGAAAGCCAGACGACCCTGGAGGTCTTGGTCCACGCTGCAGAGATGAGGAGAGTAGATGCCAAGGACTGAATGTCGAATATTGAGGAAAGAGCGAGGGCCGTCTGGAAAGAAGCTCGCAGTTTGCCTGCAGAAGAAGAGGTGGCTGCGCAGCTCTTTGCTCTCGAAGAGTTGGGCGAAAACCCCGGAGCGGCGGAGGATTGCGCAGCGTGCCATCACTGTTGGGAAAAACAAGAAGAAGAAAAATGACAGAGACATTAGGAGATGAGGGGCCCTGTTGAGGCGCCTCCAAAACTCCTGTGCTCAGCAGCATGGTTTGCGCGAAACGCTGGGCAACATCAACGCTGGCGCGGTTCAGGCACTGCGCACTCCGACACTCATTTGATCTGGCGCTCTGTCAAACAACCCTGGTACCTCAAAAGTGCTTTCCGCTTGGACTTGAAGCGTCACGCGACATGCTCGGTTTCTCATCGCGAGTTGATGAGCTCTCGGGTACTTGACACTACTGGAGCAGGTCACACACATTCAGGAGAATCAACAGGAGGGAGCTCACTGCGTCGAAAGGTGCGCCCGAACTTCTTGGGAGCTACGTACGGGACGCTGCGCACCTTGACTCGCGTTTCAGCGGGTAGTTTGCGAGGAAATCAGGAATAAGCTCGGCGCCAATTACTGTTTGGGAGGATTAAGTATCCCAAGCCCACCCGGACTAACGCGGCACGCATCCTTGACAATTTTTGGGCGCATCGGCTACCGCCAACTCACTCGGTCGCGGCGCGTCACCATTGGCTTACGCTCACACAAAGGCGCCCTGCGCAACCCACCTGGTACTGGGAGTTGCGTCACCACTGCAGCAAGTCCACCAGGCCCTCCTCGAATGTCTGAATCGCCAGAACCTTCGGCGACAGGGCGTTGACGTCAGGTTTGTCCGTGTTCATGTATAGTATACAGGGCCCGTTCTTCGTCTCCTTCGGCCACGTTCATATCATGCGTCTTGCTGCAGAGGGATGCCCTGCCGTTGATGCGCAGCTCGCTCAACACCTTTACACCCAGAAGCTTGATGGAGCTGACCATTTGCCGAGCCCATGATGATCCGATGAGAGCTGGATCTCCCGGAGGCTGATGAGCTCACCTCAGCGCGGGCTGCTTGATCGTGTCGTTGATTGGTTCCATAGATTGTCTTCTCGAAAGAGGCGAAGCGGTTTTCCTCGGAGGTTCTTCCCCACCGCGAGACCTCCCTTGCAAAAGGCTGTTCCACTGCACATCATCGCGGCCAGTTGGGACGCGCTTGGCCGGCCAGATCTGTACAACGAACTATACTTTGCGGCCATACCCCTCCACGGGGAGAACAAGGGCATGTCCGAAGCGCCTTGGCCGTGAAACCCCCGCGCCTTGGGCCCAAATGACACGAACAGCCGCAATTGGGCTCGAACCCAAACAAAGTTCGCAAATTGTATGTATGTGTGTATGTATGTGTATGTATGTGTATGTATGCATGCATTCATGTATGTATCGAATCAATGTATGTACGCACGTTCGCACGTACGCACGTGTGCGTGTGTGTACATGTATGTATGCATGTGTGTGTGGATGTGTGTATGTGTGTACGTATGTGTGTATGCACGCATGTATGTATGTACGCACGCCATGTGTGTGTCTGTTTGTCTGTCGGTCTGTCTGGCTGTCTGTATGTACGCATGTATGTATGCATGCATGTATGTATGTATGTATGCATGCTATGTGTGTGTGTGTGTGCGTATGTATGTGTGTGTATGTGTGTGTATGTATGTATACGTAGGCATGTACGCATGTACGTACGTTTGTATGCACGTATGCATGTACAGGCGTACGCGCGCATGTATGCACGTGGTATGCACGTATGATCATGTACGCGCGTGTTGTTTGTTGTTTGCGCGCGTGATTGTTTTGCATGTGTTTCTGTGTGTGTGTGTGTGTGTGTGTGCGACAAGTCGCGCCCGTGCCGTGTACGTTGCCATTTAACCTTGGACTCATGGACATGGCAGGAGCTGAAGCCAGACCTCAAAGAGGAGGCCACTGATTCGGGAGACGATTTGTCCAATGTGTTCAGTTGATGCGTTGATGCTGAACACATCCTGGATCACGCAGTGGGCTTCCGACTTGGCTTTGGGATGATGCTAGTGGAGAAGGTGCAGAGAACCAGCACAGCAGGGAGAGGTGAATGAAATGACGACTACGCGGTGGCAGTTTTACCCGGCTGCTTTGTATATCTTCATATCTTCAATGTGACATTGGATGCTTTTGCGCAACCAAATATTGGCGCGCAATGGAAAATGCGTGGCCAACAGAAGCTTCCGAGCGCTGAGAATGAGTTGACCAAGCACCACCTGATTCCTTCAAATAACGTGTTTATGCATACTGGGCGCAATGCCGTTTATGGATGTCATACAGCGTGTCACCGTTTAGAACATGCTGGCTCACTTTCTGCCTGAGGTTGGCTGTGCTTTGCGTCGCGGTCCAGCTTACCATCAATGCTCGCAACGAGGAACTGCCAGGCGTCAAGCAAAGCCAAGCAAAGCAGCAGAGGGGTGAAAAGGTAACAGGTAGATCCTGTAGATCCTGCATGGGTCAATCTGAGCGTCCTTCCCTTGGGCGCTTGGGAGGTGTCGTGGAAAATGCGATGTACATGAGCTGTTTTGCTCTATTTTTGCAGGCGGGATGTAGCCTTGGGTGAAGGGCATGTCCGGCATTAAAGCGCTGGGATATCACAGACAGAGAAGAGAGGGGGAGAGAGGGAGAGAGAGAGAGAGAGAGAGAAAGTATGTGTGTGTGTGTGTGATGGCCTGCTTGGCCCATGGGGTCAGCTCCCCTAAAGCAGCGAAAGAAAGAGTCTATGAAGTGTTTTTTTTTAATCAACCTGCCTGCCTGCGTGCACAGGCAGCGGTGGCCATCGCCACCCCATTCCTGACTGGCGCCGAATTGAAGGTGGGCCTGTGCTGACATTTGGGTGTGGCTCAAAATTAAAGAGCTAGGGTTACGCTGGTTTTAGCCTTTGGTTCCATTCACCAGGGTGCCATTTTGGTACATGTTTTTGAGCCACTGCCATTTGACTGACGGTGTTGAGCAAATCTTGCAGTGGTCCCTCACAACGAGTTAATTCCCATACCTAAGATTCGAAGGGGTGTCAGTTTGCGTTCTGCGCAAGTTGCTCACACCAAGCAGAGGTTGTGCCCGGCATGGGGGGAGCTCCGGACGTGGTTGATTTCGCATCCGACCACCCCCACATGTGAGGGCCTTGGTGAGCAAGAATGGCAGTGCTGAGCAGTGCTTCTTTAATTCTTGTCTGACTGTACTCAGACGTGTTGTCAAACGCAGGTTCAATGTGATGAGCGGAGCGCGATGGATTTGCACAGCAGTGCTGCACCCTGATCTGTTTTGCCGGGGTATCAGGGTTAGTGCAGATTTGCTGGACAACTAATGCGGGGTAGGTCAGGCTTTGTGTGCTGCGAATGTTGCGAAAGCATCGACTTTCTTTCAGGAGAGTTGAGCACACGGGGGCAATGCTGGCTTTGGAGCAGTTGCAGAATCTCCTTCAGCAGTAGAAGACAATGCACCTGCAACCAAGCAATTTCGCGAAGCAAACCTTGCAAAGGGCAGGGGCCTCTGTGAGCAAGGCAAGCATGAGGCAGATGCCAAAGAGTGCAGCCTTTGGGCTGGCGGGGCAAGTTCGGCGTGGGAGGGAATTCAAGGTATCGTTCAAGCAAGAGACTAGTTCATGTTGCAGCTGCGCGGGGCAAGTTTTTTGAACTAGGGGCTCGTTGAGCCTCCAAGCAAGCTGCGCAACACCAAAGTCTGTCAAAGAAGCAAGTAGGGCGTAGGCCGATCCGTCGGTGGGCCGCTTACGTAGATGTACCTAGATTACCATGGGCTGAGCTCCGGTGCCAAACAGGCGCAGATGCTCTAGGTGCAGATGTAGGCGCAGATGCTTGGCAACGCGCAACGTATGGCATGGATTTACGGCGCTAGGGGGCCAAACGTACGCAGGGAGGAAACACGCGCACAATGGTTTCTCCCACAAGTATCGGCTACGGCATGCCTTCCCCGCAACAATCAGCCCAAACTGCCTTGTCTTGTTGCGAAAGTGACAACCAACAAGACAGAATCGGTTGTAGTTGTTTTTGCACGACTGCCTGCACAGTTTGCGTGTTGGCATACAAAATGCTCTGCGCTGAATCATGCTGATACTGAATGGCAGAAAAGGTACGGCGCTGTTGCGGTCATTTGCTCTTTCCTTTGGAGTCGTGTTCTCAGAGGGTGTTTGCATGTGCAACATATGCTTCCTCTTATTGATGCAAGCACGCGTGCAAACGACGCTGCTGGGTTGGCAGCCGAGGCCAGAAGGATTCGCCGTCTTGGGTTATCTTGGTGAGCCTGTCATGTTGAGAGCTTTGTTGGAAAATGCAATGCCAAGCATGGCTTTGAGGTGATGCATTTGGCAACTTATTTCTTTATCGCTGCTCGGTTGCAATTCAGCAGTTGTATCGTATAGTTTCCGTATAGGAGGTGTGACATTCATTGAAATGCATTGAGACGAGGTCCACCTTTTCCTGTTTGTGACATTCTCATTGAGGCAGCTTGGAAGTCAGTTTGCGCTTGCATTCAGCTCTGATAGATGCAAGCATGTGAGACGTTTGTTGCTGCAGGACTGTGTTGGGTGGAGGCATGAATGATGCAGTCAGGACAGCGTCACTTGCAGATGTGTGCAGCGTCAATGTGGTAGTATGATATGGTTTTCGTGCGGTGATATCTCCTGGGAACATATTATATTATGTACATACATACATACATACATACATTCATACATATATTTATATATATATATATATATACGTGATATGCTAAGGCCCCTCCCCTGTTGTGCTTGATTTGTGCACCGGGTGCCACCGGTTTGCTTTGTTTGAGCAGACAGGCTGGAGTGTTTGAACTATTTGTGCAGCAGACGCAAGCAGAGATACACAGGCTTGCAGTCCATCATGTGCTCTCTGCTAGCAGTGAGGTATGTGCGCACTTCCTCTAGTGTTGCACAGAGAGCAATTCCATTGCCCAATTGCAAGAAAACAAGCATTCCAACCGAATATGTCAAACTGGAAACATGCTTCAGCTTGGCCAACACAAGGAAAGTTAGGTTCTCCTTGCACAACAAGAACCAAAACGCAGATCGCCAGAGACAAGGTTTATTCGGTTGTAGGCAAGATTATGTCCGCACGGCAAGCTCCCCCCCCATTGGGCACGCTTTCTTTGTGCACAGAAGAAGCTGAGTCTTTCTGTGCAATTTCTTTGAGCAACTTTCTCCGAGAGAAAACGACAAGTTCGGTAGCTCTTGCACACAAAGAGAAATTTATGTTCTGGCTCAAAGATTCACAGTTGCCCAGGAAAGCTGTCAGAGTATTGTCTCTAGAAACTGGCCGAAGAGTCAGTTTAAGACTGGAGATGAAGCCCATTTACTCTGGTTTTGGACGGACAGGAAATCCATTGCAACAATCAAAGAAAATGAGCGTTCCAAGCAAGATGCAGACATGCCCGAAAAGCCCAGGAAACTAGAGAAACAGGACCTACAACGGAAGTATGTCTGCATCCCTGAAACAGAACGGACATGTCCATGTATTTTCCTGGATTCAAGAATCACAATTGCTCATGAAAGATGATTGCAAAATCCTGACTCCAAAGATCGAACAATATACTCAACATTTGAAGCTTGCCCCCACACAGAGATTATAAATGCCGAATCTGAGCTTCTCGAAACAGTATTTAGATCCAAGATCCATTGCTGGGACTTTTGGGGGAATTCTTAAATGCATGAATGTTCCCCCGGAAATCTGAATACCGTATTTCCAAATACCGGTGGTACCGAACTGGCTCAACACAAAGACATGGGGGTATTGTGGGGGTGGTGGGGGGAGGGGGGTGCACCATATATTATATTTATATATATATATATATGTATCCTTTGCTGGCACGCATAGTTGCCTTGCCAGGACTTTGGTGACTGCCAAGGACGCGTTGGGCAGTTCTTGCTTTAATGTCTTTGCCCCCGGCCGACTGTGAGGACGCTGTTGCACTCTGTCCAATGCTGGCTGTACTCTTCATGGAGTCTTGGGCCTCGCGCTTGGGATCCCGAGAGGAGAGAGAGGGGCTGGCATTCACAAAGCAAACGGATCGTGCAGTGAGGAAAACAGAGGATCTATGGAGAGGGTTGTCCATATTGGCGTGCTATGCAGGTGGCAGCTTCTAATGTTCGAACCCCGCTTGGGTTGGGCACTGAGTTCTGGGTGAGATGATGATTTGGACTGGAGATGATCGCAGAACTTGACATGCAGTACTGGATGCTCGCTCAGGACCGGCGTGCCACAAGGCTATGCGCAGGACTTTGGATGGTACAGCAGGGCATTGCCTCTCATTGACAGCCATTTGCGTGAGAGGATTACATGTTTGTGGCAACCTGGGCCTTGCTCATACAGCTCCTTTCGGTGCGACTCTTGAAGCTAGCACATGCAGATGTGGTGCAGCTGTGTACGTAATACCCTGTGTCCCCCCAGTGCTTCATCAACGGCTTTGTGTTCAGCCTGCCAAAGGATTCCAAGGCACACGTCCATGTGTGCATTAGTTGCTTGCTGTGGCGGACAGGTGATGCGCACTTGTGGCAACACACTACGGGGAGGCAGGGCATCGGGCCCGCATTTCTTTTAACTCTCAAGTTGCGTTTGCAGGTCTGGCAGCCATCTCCGTAGTCTTTTACTTGGCGATGGCCATGGCCCCATCAGCACGCGTTGATCTTGTAGCGCAAGTAGGCATGGAGTCACGGCCTTCCAGAGAGAGTTGTCACAAAACACCACGGATTTGGACCGCTGAGGTTACTGTGTACGTCTCCACTGTGGTGGTTTGGCACACAGAGCTGTCTGAACGATTGCAACGAATCTCAGGGAATCTGCAGAAATGCATTCAGAGGCCACAAACTGCTAGCAGAGATGACATTGCCTTCTGGCTGTGCTGTAAAAATCACCTGCTCAGGTCATTGTTGCCAGATATACAAACACTTCGCGCAGTGCCACAGGTGGGTTTTCCTGCATCTATGTCTGCTAGCAGTGCTGTGTCGCATAGCTTCTCCGAAAGCTGTGTGCGTCTTGTTCCAGGTGCTGGGGCCTGGTTTGGGTGAGGCCTGCTAGGAGTGCGGCGATTCTGTTGCCGCACCACAAGAATGGCAAGCTTGATTCGAGAGGGCAGTGTGCAAAGTCGCCCGTCCGACAGAAAGGCTGCAAATGCTAGGGATTATGTGTGTGTGTGTCTGTGTGTGTGGGCGTTCTTCAGGCGACTTTGACGTATGCATGGCTCCTTAAATCCCGCAGCCCAGCACTGGCTTGGGATTTTGGGCGGCTTCGAGAGCGTCTTAGCCAGGCGTCGTCTCAGCCCATGAAATCTTGCAGGGAACTGCATGTCAGGATGGGTCGTCGTAGTCCCTGGCTGCTTCGCGCAGCCCAGCTCTCGATTCAGTGCAGCTGACATTCGCACTGCGGATGTGTCGGGCCGCATGCGCGCTCAGGCCGTTTTGCTTGCGACAGCGGCTACATGCGATCTTGCTGGCTTCTTAGTCAGTATGCGAGCTGCGACAGCGGAACCAGTAGTTTGAGCCACCAAGAGATGACTGCCGGTTTCGTTCCGTGATACAAATGTGTCGGCCAGAAGGAGACTTCCTGAAACATTGGGCTAACTTATTGAAGCAATCTTCTGCAGAAATTGGAGATGTCATGGAGTGTTAGCCAAATCAGAAAGCGCAGTCCATTCCATGGGGCATATGCTCGCCCTGCCAGGTCTTTGGCAGCTTGCTTTTTGTGGCGCCATTGGCCACTGGAGTCAGTCGATCGCTAGCTGAAGCGCTTTCCTCAACACGTGTGGAGCTAAGCAGATTCTCGCTTTCACACGGTACCTGAGGCGGGACACCGCCGGGAAGGCACTTTCAAGAGAGACGCGCGATGGCAAGCAAGTTTCACGACGGCAAGGATTGGCAATGTAGTTTGTATGGAAGGCCTGGCTAGTCGACACGCCAAAGAAAAGGATGAGGAGGACCGATAGCTTGGCATGTTTGCCATAGCAGCTTCTCATTGTCCAGGAAGTTCTCTTCAACTTCAGAAAGCCTAAGCCGAAGAAGGGCTTTAACAAAAACTGGAAGGCTGAGTCAAGATTCCCATGGATTGTTGCACTGTTCACACTTAGATCCGTTTTGGCTCTGGCGCGCTCACTTTTGCTGCCAGCCACCCTTCCCCAAGTTCATCACTCTCGGTGCAGTGATGATGACAATTGTGGGCAGCACACATAGCATTGACATGCAAAGAGACCAGCAAAAGTTTCACTTGCAGAAGATAACCTGAGGCTACCTGGGCGGAGGGCATGCTCCTCAGCCTCAGCAGCCTCAACATTCCAGATTGCGAGCTGCAGAAACTGAGGCCTGAGCTGGCCTCAATTTGGGGCCTTTGTGGTGCTGGCTTTGGGCCGCTTGTGCGGCATTAAGCACTGCTCGCTATCCTTTGATTCCAAACCGGCAATGCACTTATGCGCAGGTGCCTGCTTGAGCCGTGGCAAATGCCAGACGGGACAATCAGCGGACTCTATGACGACGAGGATGATGACTCAGATGACGACGAGGATAGTGATGACGAGGATTAAGTCGTATACTGTCATGGGAAACCTCATGGCATCCAATCCAGTTCTGCTTTGATAATGCCTCTCTGTCAGAAGGCAGACGAAAGATCAGAAATGTGCATACATGCGTTGCCTTTACCCAGTTGTCTTCGGTCGCAATGCTGACTGCTTTCAGCTGCCCTTGGAAGCCAATCATGGCTCAGACAAAGTGGGGTCGGTACTGTAACGTAGCCGATGCTGTGCCATGAAATTGTGGAGTTCGGGGCCTCCGGATGGCCCCACAAGCCCCGAAGAAGCGCATTTGTTGAGCTGGTTAGCAAGTCCTCTAGACGCGCGGTGTTAAGATAGCAATCGCTAGAATCCAGATGGCCCTCGCAGTGCTGTCCCAGGCCTGGCGTGTACTGTTCTTGAACGTCGCCGTACGTGTGTTTGGCCAAGCCAGAAGCTAGTAGCTTCAGGCGATGGCACGTTCGAAAAGCAGGGTATGTCGCGGTACACGTTCGTTTAGCAAAGGGTAGGCCCTCCAAGTAGACTAAGAAAGCCTAGACCAACCTGTGGGAAGATGCCAACAAACGAGCGAGGGCTACTGGATCTCAGGCATCTGGAGAGCTGGTCTCATCAAGCACGCCTGGCGCCCTGTTGGTTGCGGCAATTGTGCTGAAATTGTGGAACCAACACGATGCAGAAAGGAAGAGAGACAACAGTGCCGGCAAAGGGCACTTTCGCATCCACATACACGACGCCAGCTTGCAAGGGCAGACGAGTATGTCCTCAACAATCTCCAAGAAGCAGTCGAGCGCTGACCTGCTTGAGATAGGTGGCAAGATGCAAGAGCCACAAAGCGCAGAGAGTGCAAAAATTGCAATTTTGGGGTTGAGCAGTCTAGATTTGTGCCTTCAAGCTCATCGGTGAGGGATGGACATGCCTGGGCGCCGTGACTGCGTGGAGCTTGGCAACACATTGCCAGAATGTTTGCTGTGCTCTTTGCACCGACTTCGCTGAGGCGTTCTGCGTCCTTGCTGCTGGTCATGCATTGACCAAGTACTTTGAAGCCGGGTGCCTAGGTGTTGTGTCATTTGGAAACTGAAAAATGATTATGATGTGAATGTGAAATGGATATCTTTGAAGGGTGGCATTGCTAGCGCTTGCTCGGTTGTCTGAGGCGAAGCCTGCCGAGAGGCCTTCCGAGGCCTTGGAGAGGCGAAGCACGTCACGATGCATGTTGCGTGGGACAGACCGATCGACTTCTTTCCAACTCCGGCCTGCACCTTGGTCTCGGCGAACACTTTTTTCAGGGTGAGCCTTCAGAAGCTGAGGCTGCTGACATCCAGAGGAGAAGGCGAGGGCCGCGCTTTCCCTGTAAAGATCCAGATTGCCAAAAAGGAAACGAGCCATGCGCTTGAAGTGCAGGAGTTAAAGCGGTTGAGGCCAAGTGAAGTGGAAGTCGAAGCAGAAAATCGGAGGAGACCATGGCCGCTGCAGCTCCCGCAGGCTTTTTGGCGATGGGCTCAGGTTGTTCGCGTCAAGTGCAGCATGGTTTCTTGAAGTTATTTAAAATCAAACATATTACATATACTACATAGGTGGGCATTTGTTTATGCTGACAAACCCGCTTGGCAAATCCACGGATCCTGGATGGGCATAAAGCGAGGAACACGACACTTGTTTTGCAGTGTCCCTTGTGCCGGTTTGATAAAGCAGCACCATTGGGCTCGGGCAGGAGACAAGTTATCAAATCTCAGCCTGGGTGGAGGTTTCGCGCAGGCATGCGTAGGCGAGGCTTAGCTGTGAACCAGTGCCCAGTTACTTGGGCCTTCTTTTCTATTTTCTGCCCGCAAGAAGCTGGGCCATCCGCCTTTGGTCTTATGCTCAAGGGTGCTGCAGGTCAAAGGCAAGCTAATTGTCGATAGTGCAAAGGCTCAAAGTGTGTGTGTGTGTGTGTGTGTAGGGGCGTAGGAAGCGCAGAGTTCGCGTGGCGGCAGGACAGCACAAAACCCCGACAGCAATAAAAGCACTTCTCAAATGCGACGTGCTGCATCACGTCAAGCGTCTCATCTGTACAAACGATCAGGGTTTGTTCTGTGAACGTCCAACGTTTTGCAAAGCGGCAAGCGACATTTATCGAAACGATGGCCAAGTCAGCAAGACCACAAAACGTGCAAGAAGATACACCCCCTCCCCCCCCAAAAAAAAAAGAAAGAAGCACGTATGTCGCATCTTTGTGTTGGTCACTGAACCTGTTCATGTATGCATGCAGTTGCAAGCCTAGCAAGCGTGCCTGATGGAAGTGCTGTTAAGATTTCGGCTCACAGTGCCCAAGAACCTTGCCCAAGAACCTTGCCCAACAACCTTGCCCAGACTTGCAGGCGCGGGTTCATGCGGTATGCCATGCTGACAACAGCTGACATGTTTCGCGCTGACCGCGAACAACCGCAACGCGAGGTATGGCTCCGTGGGCTTTGGCCGCACCGGCCGCCAATCCTGCGCCTCACCTTGTGACGCCAGGAGCGCGTGCATGCTCATTCCTGCCGGCAATGGCAGTATTGCAAGCACACACAGCAGGTCAGGTGGCTCCATCCGCTCCGCTCCTTGAAACGCATTCGACATGCGTGCTGCTTGTGAGCAAGTACATAAAGACATATCAGCAATGTTGTCAATCAAGGCCTCGAGGTGCATCTGTCAAGGAGTGGCGGAGTACTGGATGGGGGGTGAATTTGGAAGCCGCAACTCCCAGGAGAATTCTTCGAGGTTTCACCACATTGCGGTGGGTTCTGTCGCTGCTCTCACCTTTGCAGCTTGGATGCAGCTGGCCGTGCATCTCATTCAGCATCAAATCTCCCTGCCAAGGTGGCTCCCGCTCAGCGGAGAAAGGTGGCGAGGCCGTGATACGGCAAGTGACAGCACAATGACTGCCCGAATCTGCAGGCGAGCAGAGCCAAAAGAATCGCCGCCGGAGCCAGAAGCGGCTGCCCCTCCACCCCCTCCCTTTGATCCTAAATTGGAGATTGGAGTTCTCCCTCCAATGGACTACTTCGCCCCGAACTCAGATGGCCTTTGCCTTCCGAATCGGTAGCAGCATTGTAGCAGCTGGCAGGACCCTGCAGGTTTCTGCAAAGTTGGTGATGAGGACCATGATTGCCATGTTGCAGTGTGCTTTTGAACATCAAGTGGGATGCAGCTGGCGAGGCTGGCTTCCGGAATTTGCGGGCGGCAGAACTGAAGCATGGCCGTGTGGCAAGAAGCTGAGTATGTCACACATGTTTTCTGAGACCTTTCCTGTTTCAGGCAGCATGTCGCCTTGCAATGCTTTCTTAGGCAATGATGGCTGCCTTGGGGGCCTCGGTGCAGGCTGGTGAGCCTCGGATTCTGCAGCATTTCGACGTCGGCCGCTTTGATCGTGCGTCCGTGGCATGTGTCCCGGCCCAGCACTACGTGCAATTCCCCGGCTTTGATGAAGTTCCAACTGGCATCGGTGCAGTGACCACGGCGCCGGGCCCTCGGGTCAAACATGGCCACGCTTTGTCGTGACACAAAACCGGCATCCTCTTGGGCCTTTGTACCAGGCCTGGATCCTATGGCTTTGCTGCGCTTTTCCTGGTCAGCGGAGTGCTCCTTGGCCAAGACCAAATTGCACTGTTTGGTGCGAGAAACGTAGAGTCAAAGTTAGGTGTTGCCGTGGAACGAATTGCAAGCTAGCCGGCCCTGGCATTCTTTATGCACTGCTCAGCAAATAACTCGTTTTGCTGCAAGTTTATTAGCATGCACCCATTCTTCGCCAAGCAAGCTGGAAAAGAACCCAACAATTCGGTGATGCGCTCTTCGAGTCGAAGTAGCTGGTGTTTGAGGCTGGAACTGGCGCTGTGGACGGAGGAGCGCCGCAAAAAAACTGTGGTGCGAGTGCTTCCCGTCGTTAGCGGACGCCACAGGATCCAAAGAAGGAGCCAGGCAACTTTGGCGATCCTCTCAACTTGGGGCAGTATGACATTGACATGAGGCATTTGCCGAGCTGTTCCTTGCGCGTGTTTCAGCATGTTCGCGGGCTTGCAGGAACAAGGAGCTGAACAACGGCCGGTTTGCTTCTTTCTTGCATGTGATTTCCAGCTTGCCTTTGCAACTTTTTCTGCCGTGATGCTGATTAAAATCTGCCATAGGAATACTTGGGGCACCTTCAACTCAAATTGTGCCTGCCAGCAGCTTTCCTGCACTCGCAAATGGCTGATGAATTTGAGGCCATGTTTTCCATTGTTGGAATCATCGCGGCAGAGCTATTTACTGGCAAGGCCCTGCTTGACGTGAAGTCCACTCTTGGCCTCTTGGCCCTTCCTTGCTGCAGGATGGCATTGATCAGATCGGCCTCGACACTCCAACATTGTGAGCCAATTGTTTTCAATTGTGCAGAGAAATGGGCTCAGAGCGCATCCCTTCTCGGGAAGCTCGAACTTTTAGATGCGCCCTCACACATTCGTTGCACGGGGCATGGCAATGTTGCCATGCAACTATCTGTGGTTTGTCCAGTGTGCAGACAGAGACTGTTCAGTTTTCGTTTCGCAGAGATGCGGCCACCAAAAAGACTGGCCACTTTTTAAGAGTTTTGCTTGTTTATGAAGCGTATGATGTTAGGTTGTCGGAACATTGGCAATGTCCGAGGCTGTGCTGGTGGCAGTGCCTAGTCTCCTTGGTTCCTGATGCTGGTCAGCCTGGTCAAGATTGGTCCAGAGTAGTCAGCTGTTAGTTGTGGCAGTTCGCATTCGGTGGGTTTGATCTTTCACAGGCCTTTGTTGCTCGTGACCATGTTTGGCGCGGGCAACAATGTGGCGAATGAAGGTGACCTGGCTGCATTCGCTTGCACTTGGGGGAGAGAGGCCAGACTCGCGTGGAATGCCAGACAGCGCAGCAATCCCTTGAAGGGATTGAACAAATGGAGGCTGTCAGTATGTCAGCTAGTCCCACCCCTGAACCGACCACTCACATAAGTGACTATTTCTACAGACCCTCACATGTACATTAGGCATGTGCAAAGCATGCGCAAGTATGCACCGATGTTGTGTCTTGCCGGAAGGCAACAAGCAAGCTGCTCATCATTTCACGTTTGGCACAAATATTGCCTCTTGGCTGCCAAACAGGCCTGTTCTCTCTCGCTCTCTCGCAGTCGCCAGCATGCAGAAATGTATTTGAATGAAGCCTAGGTCATTTTCGCTGGAATCCTTTGGCACATCGCTGCTGAAACTCCCAAGGGAGCAAGCAGTGCATGTTGGAGGCCATCCCGACCTTGCATTCATCATGATCTGTAATTATGGAAGAATACAAGCCCGGCGTGTTGGTGGAGAGTACTGTCAATGCCAACCCAACGGAACGAGAAGCCTGCAAAGACTAGTGCTGGGCACAATGACGCTTCAATGCTAGCGTGGAAGCCATTGTGTTGCACTTAGCTCGCAACCCGCTCACTGCGTCCTTCATGCATGTCTCACATGACGCAAAGCATGCAAGAGCAAGAGAATGGCTCGGCCGAATTATCCGACATGCTGGGCGATCAAGGGACAAATCTTAGAATGCACTGCCTTGCGTGAGGTCACAACAACCATCCAAACATTGCCTTTCCATTGCTGCACGCAGGATCATTCCAATGCAGACCCAGCGTTTGTTTTGACTGAAGCATCGACCAGGTGGGGCCCTTTCATGCTGGCAACCTCGGGTTGCTGCATGATAATGTCAGGACCCCAATGGCATGTGCCTGTGTGTTCTGAATGTGCATGGATCGGATCTGCTTTCAAACCTGCAAAGTCATTGGCCTTTGGAGGCAAACTGCGCAAACATGGAGAAAGGTCCTTTAAAGGAGCCATCAGGCTTCCAAAGATGGTACTGCATGCACGGCCCCCTCGATCTGTACCGCGCATGTCAACCTGGACCCAGATGTCATCGGGGAGTTCAGTACCAGCAAACCACAAGCCGCAAAAAGACTCCATCAGAGTCAGGGCCATGAAAAACAAAGATAAACTGCGGTCGTCGTTCAAATGAATGAGCCAGCAAACTGTACTCACCCGCCCCTGGTTACCTCCGCACAAAGCAGCAAAGGGAAGGCACGTTTTTAAACCGAAGCTCCGAGAACTCTGTTAATCTCATCAAGCGCAACCCCGACCCTCCAATCACCGCATTTGGGTGTCCATGTCCTTGCCCACCTTCGGGCGATTCTTGCAACAAAGTAGTGTGGAAAACCGGCCAAACCCAAACTGCAAAACAGCTCATGCCATGCCACCATTCGAACTTCAGCCGAATTAGAAAGGTACCAAATTCTGCACATCCACCCTTTGATAGCAGCAGCCTTCTGTGATGCAGGCGCCCACGAGTTCCAAGGTTTCAGAGACCTAAAGTCAGGAATATCGTAGGTCAAGCTGCCCAAAGGATCTGGGAAACATGGCCAAACAACCAGCTTCGTGCCAAACCAAGAGGTGTTCAAGCCAATGAACGATTGATGCTCGGAGGGTTCCAATTGCATCGTGCCAACGCAGAATCTTCTTCGCAAACGGAGGCCTGCCCACCGTGCAACCTCACGCTTCTCCAGAATGGCCGCAGAATCCCAAGCGCAAAACAAACGGATATCATCTCTGTAACTGACATCCAGCACGAGGATGTTCACACCCTTCACCAAAACGTGCTTGCAGCACGTGCCAGGAAAGGAAACAGTATCGGCTGCCTCGTGGGAAGCACAAAGGGACTCACGCCGCCACTTGAACAGGCGTAGCACTGCCCCGCTGAGAGCGTCACCCATGGGAGCACCCCTCAACTCTCTGCCCAGGTAGCCAGGCAAAGAAATGAAATTCGTAGCCACGAAATTCTGCAGGACCAGCCGAATCTGGTCGAGGGAGAAGCAAACCCATCCAGCATCCAAGCATTGTCCAAATCTTCCAAGACCAAAACCCTTCCGGCGAGGCACGCTGATGAAATGGATACCCCGGTTCGACAAGAAAGTGGCCACTGCATCCCAAACTAGCGGTGCCTGGTCGCAAGGAAGGTGGTGGTAACAGTCAACCATGTCAGCTGCCTCTGTCCACACGCAACATGACTCAAACCTTTCCTGCACGCGTTGGTTGAAGTCAGCAACAAGGTCAAGGAAAGAGACGCTCGAAGAAAAATCCCCCCAAGTCTCGCGCGGCATGTGGTTCAGCGCAACATCGATAGCTTTGGACACCGCGCTGTGCAAACCAGTGGTCGGGGCGCTGTGCTTGTTGACTACCAGCCGCCACTTGATGCCAGGAGCCTTCCACTTTGGCAAGATGATGGGCTGCCCTATGGACCAGGAACGTGTCGCCGTGATGGAAAGTCTTGCAGGCTGCAGGTGCGACGGGAGGTGCTGTACAGTGGCCAAGGAAATCAAGACCTCCGAATAGTTCCCGCCAGCATCCCACGCAAAATCCATGCCAGACGCCTGGTCGCCGAAGTCAAGGACTCTGCAAGCCTGAAGGCGAACCAAAGCGGGGCAGAAGGCCCCGAACCTGCACAAGTTGTGGTCGAACACCTGCACGAAAAAGGAGCGCAAGAAGAGTCTGGCAGCTTCAACCTGTTCCCACGTGACAGGTGCGCGTAGCCGGTTCTGGTTCTTGGTCAGGAGCTCCCCCAAGGCGTCACTGAGGCCGACCACAGCAGATTCCACAAGCAGATCCTCGTCGGCTACCTTGCAGCGGTCACGGACGGAGCGCAAGAAGGCGCGGACTGCACTAGTCACCTGCGCACTCTTTGGCGGCAAGCACAAATTCGCGGGCAGGCGTGCGAAGCAAGCCAGGTTGTCCGGCCAGGGAATGTGCCCCTGTGACGCAGCAATGTGGGAGACGCCGTCCACGGTAACAATGGGCCAGCGCGGATCAAGAGCCAGGAAACGGCTGCAAACGCATTCAGGAGGCCTTGAGGCTCCAAGCAGTTCTGTCAGAGCGGGGCCTTTGCATAAGGCGTCCGCCAGAGTCGGGGTAGCTTTCCACTGGGCTCGGAGACGGGCGTGCCGCATCACGGGCAACCAATAGCCGGAGCGCCGCCAATCAGCCAGGAGGCGCCGAACCACCTGCAAAATCAGCGTCCTCGCAACATTGGAGCCGAGCCATGGGACTGAACAATTCATGATGGAGATGGGCTGTGGAAGGTCACGGCGTGTGCGGGTGACCCTGCGCAGCATCTGTAGCGCCCTCCGGCGTCTCCAGCCATCCTCATGCCGGGAGATGTGGTGCACGACCCAGATCCAAGCCGAGCGCGACAGGCGCCATACGGACAAAGCTGCAGCTTTGCAGCCAGCGAATTGATGCCCTGCAAGCGCAGCAGCGGTGAATCGCAAGCCGTCCTTCCAGGACTTGAGAGCGAGCTGTGCTACTGAGTGCCGCGCCGGCCTGTCAAGCTTCTGCACCTTCCGGAGTCTGAGCACGGGCCGCGGAGCATCAAAGATTGCCAGCCCTGCGTGAGGCGGTCGTAGCCCGGAACGAGCACGAGCAAGGACATGTACCCTTGGGGGGTTCAGGGTGCCAATCTTCTTGATCCACTGCTTCTCCAAAAGCTTCCTGGCGCTGCTGTCGCCGGGGGCGTGCACTAAAGGGAAAAATAACCATTCACACACGGACATTCGCAGGAGGTCAGGTCGGGTGGCATCGTCTCGGACGAACTGGAAAAAGGGTTGCTGTACAGCGCCGTGGGGGCAGAGCAATCTGGACATATGCTCCGCCACACGTCTGGCAAAGTTGTCGGTCTCGCCGATGTAGGCAAAGGGTCCCAGAGAGGAGAACTTTGGAAAAATTGGGACGCAAGCATAGATAGCGGGTGAGTGCCAAGAGTAATCCCAACTGCCATGCCAGGGCACATCGCCCAAGGAGTTCAGCAAAGAAAGAGACCTCCGAGAGGATCGGGCCCGGAGCAAGCAGAGCCAGATACTGGCCCCCACCCGCGAAAAGGTTTCATCAGCCGCCATCTTCCCTCTGGTGAGGCCCAAAGCCCAAAACCGCAGCAGCGCAATGAGGCAGAGAGCCGCCTCACACGCATTCGCCAAACGACCTTGAGCCTCACACTCCTCCCATCAAGGGGGCCCTTGGACCATGTCGGTAGCCCGCAAGCGGGCCAGGATCTCGGGGACCTGCGCATCTTTACCTTTCACATCGAGGTTGAGGGCGTCACACAAGCGCTTCAAGGATTTGGCTGGGGCAGAACTCAAGCTCACATCTGCAAGCAGTCCCTGGAACTTGCGCAAGTAGAACTGGAAGGCCTGCTGGTAGACGGGGCTCATGACCCCAAGCGGGGGCAAGGTTTTCAAAGCAGCGCTGGGCTTGAGCTTGCATGGAAAGCGATTGCTCTGCTTGACCTCCACGGAGTCCAAGGTGAGACCTTCAGCGTCAGCCGTGATCCTGTCTGCGACCCATCCTGCGAACTCCTCGCTGTTCTGGTCGGAAGGCGCCGGTGGGCCAGACACAACTGGTTTTGCGGGAGATGCCCGTGCCAGGGCGCTCAAAGCCGCAAAGCCTTTCTTGGGGGTCGCCGCTCGGTCCGGGCGATCATGCTGGGCCGCGGTGGTAGGCAACGAAGGGGTAGAAGCAGAAGGGTCCGAGGGCCGAGTGCTGAGATCCATGTGACGGGACACATCGCCGTGGGACTCCGGCTTTTCCGGGCACTTGGACAGGTACTTGACCGTAGCCTTCCACTTGGACTCGTTGGTGGAAGCCAAGGGAATGAGGCGGAAGCACTCCCAAAAACGGGAACAAACAAGCCTCGACATGGGCGTGATGGTCCAGTTCTCGTCCTCGAAGTGCGCCTGCTGCTTGGGGGAGGCCAACTTGACGCAACGCTCCCGGCGGAGCGTGTTGAGTTTGGCACACATCTGCATGCGCTCAGGGCCCTTGAGGGAGTCGATGTCCACGATGATGCCCGGCGGGGGTCGCCATGCCACCGCCCGAAGCTCACGAGGTAGGCCCACCCACACGTCAGCAAAGTCATCAGAGGAGAGCCGCAAGAGGCAATCCAAAACGAAGCAATTGAAGTCAGCTTTCCCCATCTCAGCCTCCAGCGCTTGGGGTGTCACGGGCGCTTCACGCCTGCGATCCCGGCGGCCCCGGGGAGAACGGGATCTGTTGCTTCTGCGCTCAGAAGGGCCAGAGTAGTGGGCAGCTATTGGTCCTGCCGGTGGCGGGCCAGGCACCACACCGAAGCTGCTCATTTGGTTCTGGGCAAACTGTCCGGAGGACCATGATCCGCATCCCGACTGAGGGCTGAACTGGGCTTGTGGGACCACATGCTGTTGAGGCCAAGGCATCGGTTGAGCATAATGTGGTACCGAAGATGGACAAGGCCACGACATTGCTGCTACGAACGTTAAGCGGGGGGGCCCGACTAGCTGCAGCCGTCACGCTGCCGGACGTGAGCCAATCAGGCAAGTTGCACACGAGCAACAAAGACAAGCCTACCCCAGGGACATCCACCTGGTGTCCGCATGCGGCACAGGCCGTCAGTGAATGAATGTGCATGGATCGGATCTGCTTTCAAACCTGCAAAGTCATTGGCCTTTGGAGGCAAACTGCGCAAACATGGAGAAAGGTCCTTTAAAGGAGCCATCAGGCTTCCAAAGATGGTACTGCATGCACGGCCCCCTCGATCTGTACCGCGCATGTCAACCTGGACCCAGATGTCATCGGGGAGTTCAGTACCAGCAAACCACAAGCCGCAAAAAGACTCCATCAGAGTCAGGGCCATGAAAAACAAAGATAAACTGCGGTCGTCGTTCAAATGAATGAGCCAGCAAACTGTACTCACCCGCCAGCAAACTGTACTCAGCAATGACAAGATGGAAATGTGGAAAGGGCATGCTGCCAGACACTTCAATCGAGGTGGGACTCCCTCCGGCACATCTTCCTGGATCACGGCGGCGTTTCTTGGTGGCACTGTAGGCAAATCACTGATAAGCCTGTTAAAAGAGTTATGTAGGGGAGGACGTACGTGATCCACAAGTCACAGGGCACTCTGGCAGATCAGCATGAGTTCCTCACAAAATGGGCAAGTATCGCAACCATTCAGCACAGGTGTTCTTCAAGCCAGAGTCCTTGGCAATGCAAAAGCCTCAGAATGAAGCAAAATGGAGCAGAGTTTGCTTGGCTGTCAGCATTCTGTAGGTATAGCGATCATGGCGGCCTCACAACAATTGGCAAGGTCAGCCAGATGTTGACCATCATGGGGTCATACTCTCAGCCACACCTTGCAAGTTCGAATAGGTTGCTGTCAGCTATACCTGACATGCTCAGATTCGTGACGCTGGCCACAGGCAGGCGGATTTGAGTTCCACCCTGATTGCATGTTCTCTAGAGATAGGGTGCGAATTTGAGTGCCGGGTAGCACTTCAGCAAAAGGAATGCAGCACCATGTATGCATAGCCAGCGAAGAGTGGAGGCGTGATTTGGTTTGTACTGGTCCCGGACTGAGCGCTTTTCCTTCTTGCTTACAGCCTTTAATTATTTCGGAGAGGGAGGGAGATGGAGGCAGGAAGGGATAGAGAGAGAGAGAGAGAGACACCCCAAGGCTCCCAAAAAGCGTACCTGCCTCAGTGGTCCTTTTGCCAGCGTGATCATCAATGTGTATGCTTGGATTGCCAGGGCTTTTCAGTGAGAGAGTGCTTGAATACTGGAAAAACAAAGGCACGGAGGACAAGGTCTAAGACTACACTCTCCACGTATGGGTTGATGAGAGGATCTGCGACTTATGTGGTATGAGGACTTGCGTAGGGCAGGATGGGCAAGGAATGAATTGCGTGCAAAGTTGCAAGCGCAACAGCGCAACGCAATGAGAGTTGTTTCAGAATACCCTGCGAAGAGACCTCCACTGCATAAAAAGCTGCAAGTGTGCAGGGAGCAATGAGCAATTTTTAGCCTTTTGCTTCATGCAGCCTGAGCTCCTGTGTGGGTGTTGGTGAACTTGGTATTTTCCTATATTTTTGGTATTCGTAGTGCTCTATGTGTGAGTTTGGTACTCGTCTGGTGTGTATGTATTGTTGAATATATGTTAGTGTTATAATGAATCGATGATATATTGATATTGTTATAATTATATTGATACAATATAATTATAAATTCAACACCAAAACTAAAATAATATTGAGATTGTTCATTTATTGACACTGAAAATGGGATATGTATTTTTCGGTAGCAAGGCTAAGTTACCTTTTTTTGTGGGGGGGAGTCGGTTGATGGTTTTATGCTTAAAAGAAAGAGTTATGATTGTTCAAAAAAAAATGGAGTTGAGGTCGTTTTTTGGTTACGGATTAAATCGTTCTGAATTGAAAATTGAGAGTTAAGAGTGAAGCCTTTTGAGATTAGAATTTACAATTGAATTGAATGGGGAATTGGGGAGAGAAGGATTGGGAGATAAGAAGTACGAATCGAAAAAGGCAAATATAATAATTCTGAGAATGATATGGATATTTATCATTATTTGAAGGAAAGGGATAGTAATGGTTGATTTTAATGAGAGATATTGTGGAAATTAATATGGTTTGATTTAGGGTGTTGGTAGTATAAGAATTGGATGAGATGGGTTAATGGATTTGTTGATAAATATGTATGTAAAAAAATGTTATAAATATATAATAGTGGTTTGTTTATGATTTTGTTGGTAGGATTGGAAAGTAGAAATGATTTATATTATTGGTTTTATATATTTGTTTAAAAATAGAATTTATATTGCAATATAAAAATATATTTGAATTGAAATATTAAAAATATAGAATTGAATGATTAAAAATTACTATATTTGGAAAAGGATAAAATTAAGAAACATATATTATATTTAAAATTGTTATTAGGAAATGAAGAATTATTAATGTTGGTTTTGTAATTATTAATTGATTATGTGTTTTTTGAAGGTATTTTCTATTGTATTATAATTTATTTGAGATATATATATATACTCTATAAAACGAAACCGTGAAACTTGCTCGTCGCACTTGCGCGTTTTCCCGGACCGCTTTTCCGAAAAATCCCGGATATTTCGGAAAATTGATCCGGACTGCCCCGGGAAGATGTAACCGCTTCATAATTCCTACGGATCGCTCGCCCAAATCTGTCCGGGCTACCCCGGCATATGTGCGGAAGACATAGTGGCTTCATTTTTTGTAGGGACCAATTTCCCGAAATATTCTAGATATTTCGGGAAAGCGGTCCGGGAATCGCAGCCACCCACCATTTTCTTAAAATATTCTGAATATTTTAAGAACCATTTTCCCGAAATATTCCAAATATTTCGGGAAATGCCATCGTCGAAATATCCGGAATATTTCGGAAAAATGGTCTGGAGTGCGACTATCGAAATATCCGGGATATTTCGGAAAAATGGTCCGGACTTTGAACGAAGTCGTTGTGTCTTCTAGATCAAGAGTCTAGGCATATATCTTCCCATCCGTAGCCGTCGAACGAAGCCGTTGTGTCTTCCAGATAAAGAGTCGGGGAATATATCTGCCTGTCCGTAGCAATTTTGGCTGAAATCTTGGCCCATCTTCCGAGAGTTTGGCGATGCGATAAGCAGTCCTGCAACCACCTCCGGGCCGCGGGAGCGGCGGGGCAGCGCCGAGACAAGCGCGTGATAAAGCGTTTTGCACTGGCTCGCTCCACAGGGCGAGGGCGCCAGGGGACAAGCGGCCAGCCGCCGCGTGCAACTGGGGCACGCGCAGCCAAGAGCTCACACGCGCGTTCTTGCAGCCCGTCTGCATCACGGCTCTCGGGCTCGGAGTCGGACGCGTGCACGTGCGCAGGCGAAGCCTGTGGCATGTCGACATCAGAATCCGGCGCGCTGCGCGCCGGAGTATCGGTGTCTTTCCCTGTCTCTCTTTGTCTGTCTGTCTCTGGTATCTGTTTCTTTGTCTGTCTGTCTGTCTGTGTCTGTCTGTCTGTGTCTGTCTGTCTGTGTCTGTCTTTGTCTGTGCCTGTCTGTGTCTGCGTCTGTGTCTGTGTCTGTGGCTGTTTGTGTCTGTGTCTCTGTGTCTCTGTGTCTCTGTGTCTCTGTGTCTCTGTGTCTCTGTGTCTCTGTGTCTCTGTGTCTCTGTGTCTCTGTGTCTGTCTGTTTGTGTCTGTCTGTCTGTCTGTCTGTGTGTCTGTGTGTCTGTGTGTCTGTGTGTCTGTGTGTCTGTGTGTCTGTGTGTCTGCGTGTCTGCGTGTCTGCGCGTCTGTGTCTGCGTGTCTGTGTCTGTGTCTGTGTGTCTGTGTCTGTGTTTGTGTTTGTGTCTGTTGTCTCTGTGTTTGGTTTTGTCTTTGTTTGTTTGTGTGTTTGTTTGTCTGTTTGGTTGTTTGTTTGTTTGTTTGTATGTGCTGCGCGCCAAAGGTGTGTCTCTTTTTGTCTCTATCTCTTTGTTGGTATCTTGCTCTGTCTCTCTTTGTTTGTTGGTCTCTTTGTTTCTGGTATCTGTTTCTTTCTTTGTTTGTTTGTTTGTGTTTGTCTGTCTGTGTCTGTCTGTTTGTGTGTGTCTGTGTTTGTGTGTTTGTTTTCTCTGTGTTTTTGTGTCTCTGTGTCTTTGTGTTTCTGTGTCTTTGTGTCTCTGTGTTTTTGTGTTTTTGTTTGTTTTGGCTGAAAAAAATGTGGAGGAATAAAAAATATTTTTTAGAGGAGTGGAATGGTTTATTTTAGAATTGAAATCGGCCGATTTCGGTTTAATTTTAGAGAATCGAATGTATAAATTTTTAGATTGATTGGCGCCACCGCTAATTATGATATAATTAATTAGATTACACAAACATAAACCCCAGATAGTATAAGACGACCCATAACGCAGCATCATAATGGTTCCATCGGCATTATGATAATGCTAACAGCATTATAATGATGTTGACGGCATCATGATGATGCCATAGTCACTCAGCATGGGTGCGCTAAATAGACGCGCGCAGATAACGTCCTAATGAGTTCAGCAGCATAATGGTGATGTTGATAGCCTCACACTAATGCTCCAGCCACGAACGGTTCCGCGCTATATATCTAGCAGACAAAAGGCAGAGACGACGTCCTGATGAGTGCGACAGCATGATGATGATGATGATGATGATGATGATGATGATGATGCGGGTAGTATCACCATGATGCGGATAGCATCATGGTGGTGCTAACAGCATCATGGTGATGGCAAAGGCAGCATCATGGTGAGATCACGGCCACGAATCATTCAGCATCATCCTGATGTTGACAGCATCATGGCGCCACCACACCCGCGAACCATAATGCAGCATCGCAGTGACAGCAGCATCATGACGTGGTTGACAACATCATGATGATACACCAGCCACGAACCACGAACCATTACTCACGACATTTAGAGCAGCAACAACGTCCGAATCGGTTCAATAGCATCATGGTGCTGCGGACAGCATCATGATGATGCCACAACCACGATACCCTGCCGTCCATATGCGCCCGCACCATCACCAACACCTCAAGACAGCAGCCCCAACAGCACCCCAACTGAGCACCAGCGCCAGTACCCCAAAGTGCATGCCCAGCCGTCGATCTGGCAAAAATGATTCCCCTTTTTTATTACAAATTAGAATGGCTTTCAGTTGTCTGGAAAGTTGGTCAGCAGCACCACCCCAAACTGCATACCCCCTAGCACCCGCCGGCAATCTCGCACAACTGCGCCCATAACGTCACCAGAACCGCAAACAGCACCCCAAACAATACCCCAAAACAGCATATACGCATGCACCATCACCAGCACCTCAATCAAACAGCAAACTACATTCACCAGGATTACATGCCCCCTAGCACTCGGCCGTCCAGCACCCCAAACTGCATGCCCCCTGGCACCACGGCACCTCCACCAGCACCCAAAACTACATGCCCCCTAGCACTCGGCTGTCAATCTTGTAAAGCGGCACACCTCCACCAGCACCCCAAACTACATGCCCCCTAGCACCCAGCCGTCAAGCTCGCAAAACAGCACCTCCACCAGCACCCCAAACTGCATGCCCCCTAGCACCCAGCCGTCAAGCTCGCAAAACAGCACCTCCGCGTAGCCGGTGTTAAGGACATGATTAATAACTGCCTTAACAAGGGTAGGAACTTCAGCAGCAGGGACAACCCCACTAGCACCCCAAACTGCATGCCCCCTAGCACCCAGCCGGCAAGCTCGCAAAACAGCACCTCCACCAGCACCCCAAACTGCATGCCTCCTAGCACCCATCCGTCAAGCTCGCAAAACAGCACCTCCACCAGCACCCCAAACTGCATACCCCCTAGCACCCAGCCGTCAAGCTCGCAAAACAGCACCTCCACCAGCACCCCAAATTGCATACCCCCTAGCACCCAGCCGTTAAGCTCGCAAAACAGCACCTCCACCAGCACCCCAAACTGCATACCGCCTAGCACCCAGCCCTCAATCTCGCAAATCACTTTCTCTTCTTCATTAGAAGTTAGAACCCCTATAGCTTTCAGCTATCTGGGGAATTATTTTTTGACCATTAAATTTTTTTAATTGATATTGTTTTTTTAAAAAAATAGTTTTGTTGAAGCATTATTTAGACTTAATCCGAGATTTTAGTGATATTAGTTATAATATGGTTTAAATTCTGGATATATACGATGGCTTGCGAGGATTTTTTATAGGTAAGGAAAATCATAATTCCGAGTTGAGGATATAGAGATACTGGATTTAGGTAGTGTAACGCGATTAAGTGGTAA